TCCGTCCCCCTCCAGCTCCAGCTCCGTCCCCCTCCAGCTCCATCCTCCACCAGCTCTGTCCCCCTCCAGCTCTGTCCCTCTCTAGCTCCATCCCTCACCAGCTCCGTCCGCCTCCAGCTCTGTCCCCCACCAGCTCCGTCCCTCCGCTCCATTCCCCTCCAGCTCCGTCCCTCACCAGCTCCGTCCCCCTCCAGCTCCATCCCTCACCAGCTCCGTCCCCCTCCAGCTCCAGCCCCGTCCCCCTCCAGCTCCAGCCCCGTCCCCCCTCCAGCTCCAGCTCCCCCGTCCCCCCCCTCCAGCTCCAGCTCCGTCCCCCTCCAGCTCTGTCCCCCTCTAGCTCCATCCCTCACCAGCTCCGTCCCCCTCCAGCTCCAGCTCCGTCCCCCTCCAGCTCCATCCTCCACCAGCTCTGTCCCCCTCCAGCTCTGTCCCTCTCTAGCTCCGTCCCTCACCAGCTCCGTCCCCCTCCAGCTCTGTCCCTCTCCAGCTCCGTCCCTCCACTCCATTCCCCTCCAGCTCCGTCCCTCACCAGCTCCGTCCCCCTCCAGCTCCATCCCCCATCTCCCAGGTGTGTTCCAAAAGTTAATCCAAGACACTTTAAAAAGACAGAAGCTTGTTTCCAATCTGAATCCATCTCACTTCAGCTTCCAGCTGTTGGTTCTTGCTCTGCCTTTGTCTGCGAGAGTGAAGAGCCCCCTGCCTGGAGAAGCGTCCTTCCTCCAGAAGGACTGGTCTCCCCCAGGGTTCAGTCACCTCTTCATCTTCTTTTGGATAAAGAACGAGGAGGCCTGGTGGCACCTTAGAGACTAACACATAGAATCATAGAATATCAGAGTTGGAAGGGACCTCTGGAGGCCATCTAGTCCAACCCCCTGCCCAGAGCAGGACCAATCCCAACTAAATCATCCCAGCCAGGGCTTTGTCAAGCCTGACCTTAAAAACTTCTAAGGAAGGGGATTCTACCACCTCCCTAGGTAACGCATTCCAGTGTTTCACCACCCTCCTAGTGAAAAAGTTTTTCCTAATATCCAACCTAAATCTCCCCCACTGCAACTTGAGACCATTGCTCCTTGTCCTGTCATCTACTGTCACTGAGAGTAGTCTAGATCCATCCTCTTTGGATCCACCTTTCAGGTAGTTGAAAGCAGCTATCAAATCCCCCCTCATTCTTCTCTTCTCGCAGACTAAACAATCCCAGTTCCCTCAGCCTCTCCTCATAAGTCATGTGTTCCAGACCCCTAATCATTTTTGTTGCCCTCCGCTGGACTCTCTCCAATTTCTCCACATCCTTCTTGTAGTGTGGGGCCCAAAACTGGACACAGTACTCCAGATGAGGCCTCACCAATGTCGAATAGAGGGGAACGATCACGTCCCTCAATCTGCTGGCAATGCCCCTACTTATACATCCCAAAATGCCGTTGGCCTTCTTGGCAACAAGGGCACACTGTTGACTCATACCCAGCTTCTCATCCACTGTCACTCCTAGGTCCTTCTTGCAGAACTGCTGCCGAGCCATTCGGTCCCTAGTCTGTAGCGGTGCATGGGACTCTTCCGTCCTAAGTGCAGGACTCTGCACTTGTCCTTGTTGAACCTCATCAGATTTCTTTTGGCCCAATCCTCCAATTTGTCTAGGTCCCTCTGTATCCTATCCCTGCCCTCCAGCGTATCTACCACTCCTCCCAGTTTAGTGTCACCCGCAAACCTTGCTGAGGGTGCAAACCACACCATCCTCCAGATCATTTATGAAGATATTGAACAAAACCGGCCCCAGGACCGACCTCTGGGGCACTCCACTTGACACCAGCTGCCAACTAGACATGGAGCCATTGATCACTACCCGCTGAGCCCGACAATCTAGCCAACTTTCTACCCACCTTGTAGTGCATCCATCCAGCCCATACTTTTTAACTTGCTGACAAGAATACTGTGGGAGACTGTGTCAAAAGCTTTGCTAAAGTCGAGGAATAACACATCCACTGCTTTCCCTTCATCCACAGAACTAGTTATCTCATCATAGAAGGCAATTAGGTTAGTCAGGCATGACTTTGGTGAATCCATGCTGACTGTTCCTGATCACTTTCCTCTCATGTAAGTGCTTCAGGATAGATTCCTTGAGGACCTGCTCCATGATTTTTCCGGGGACTGAGGTGAGGCTGACTGGCCTGTAGTTCCCACGATCCTTCTTCTTCCCTTTTTTAAAGATGGGCACTACATTAGGCTTTTTCCAGTCGTCCGGGACTTCCCCCTGATCACCATGAGTTTTCAAAGATAATGGCCAATGGCTCTGCAATCACATCTGCCAACTCCTTTAGCACACTTGGATGCAGCGCATCCAGCCCCATGGACTTGTGCACGTCCAGTTTTTCTAAATAGTCCTGAACCACTTCTTCCTTCACAGCGGGCTGGCCACCTACTCCCCATGCTGTGCTGCCCAGTGCAGTAGTCTGGGAGCTGACCTTGTTTGTGAAGACAGAGGCAAAAAAAGCATTGAGTACATTCGCTTTTTCCACATCCTCTCTCACTAGATTGCCTCCATCATTCAGTAAGGGGCCCACACTTTCCTTGGCTTTCTTCTTGTTGCCAACATACCTGAAGAAACCCTTCTTGTTACTCTTAACATCCCTCGCTAGCTGCAACTCCAGGTGTGATTTAGCCTTCCTGATTTCATTCCTACATGCCCGAGCAATATTTATATACTCATCCCTGGTCATCTGTCCAATCTTCCACTTCTTGTAAGCCTCTTTTGTGTGTTTAAGATCAGCAAGGATATCACTGTTAAGCCAAGCTGGTCGCCTGCCGTATTTACTATTCTTTCTACACATCGGGATGGTTTGTCCCTGTAACCACAATAAGGATTCTTTAAAATACATGTATTTGGGCATAAGCTTTCGTGGGCTAGAACCCACTTCATCAGATGCATGGAGTGAAAATACAGGTGCAGGTATAAAGACATGAAAGGAGGGGGTTGCTTTACCAAGTGTGAGGTCAGTCTAACAAGATAAATCAATTAACAGGAGGATACCAAGGGAGGAAAAATAACTTTTGAAGTGGTAAGAGAGTGGCCCATTACAGACAGTTGACAAGAAGGTGTGAGTAACAGTAGGGGGAAATTGGGGAAATTAAGTTTAGGTTTTGTAATGACCCAACCACTCCCAGTCTCTATTCAGGCCTAATCTGATGGTATCTTTTGGATAAATCAGGGGTTCTCAAACTGGGGGTCAGGACCTCTCAGGGGGTTGCGAGGTTATTACATGGGGAGTTGCGAGCTGTCAGCCTCCACCCCAAACCCCACTGTGTCCAGCATTTATAATGGTGTTAATATATATAAAAAAGTGGTTTTAATTTATAAGGGAGGGGGGTCGCACTGGGAGGCTTGCTGTGTGAAAGGGGTCACCAGTACAAAAGTTTGAGAACCACTGGGATAAGTGAACTACATTGAACGTCTTTGGTCTCTCGCTGTAAGGCAGGTGTTCCAGACCTCAAATCATTCCAGCCTCCAGCACGTAACCACACTGGGTAGTACTATTGAGGTCTGCTGAGCCAGCTACCTGCGCAGAGCTGGGAAAGTGCACAGGAAGAACACACACACACACACACACACAAGCCAACACATATAACATAGAGATGGACAGTCCCTGCCCCAAGGAGCTTCCAGTGTGAGAAGAGAGATGGATGCTCCAATCAGACCAGGGAGAGCACCAGCCGTCAATGAGACCACCATCAGCCCCCAAATCCCAGCCTCTCCTGGATTCGACTCTCCCTTGACCTCCTCAGTGTCGGCAGGACATTTGTAGCTGGTGCCAGCCTGAAGGCGATTCCCAGGACTCAGGCAACGCTGGGCCACCCTGGGCTGCTAGCCTGGCCCTGAGGTACCAGCTTCAGCCACCTATTGGAGGGGTGGACCTGAGCCACACAAGTGCAGCTGCAAACTGCACCAGAGCCCCAGGGGTGCTGAGATTGGAGGGCTGGATTTGAGCCTCAGACATGATTTCATTTAGGTGGTTTCTAAATTGCCCCAGGTGTCAATTTGACAGGGCCATTCTATTCTGTGCTTTACAGGTTCTTATCCTGCCCTCTGCCCTGGACTATCTGAGCATCCTCCCCTTGTGCACTAAATGTGACTCACCTCTCTCACATCCTCTCCCCAGGGGGTGACCGACGGCAGGGGAAGGGGCCAGGAATGTTTGCTTTGGAGGGATTATTATTTTTAACATGTCCACGCTGCTCTGTGTGTTTATGTTGGAGAAGGCTGGCTGGAGGAGCCTGCCTGGCTCTGGGGAGGTTTGGGATGATCCTGGAACCGGCCCCTGAGAACACTGCGTCTCCCACCCAGAAGAGCTTTCCCCTGATGGGAGCGAGTTTTGCTCAGGGTGAGGAGCAGAGCTGTCAGCCAGGGCCCCATCCCAGGAGCCTAAGGCTGGGCTCAGAGAGAGAAAAGGTCAGGGTGAGCAAAGGCAGGAGGAATCTCTCTCTTCCGATCCACTCCGAGGGGTCCATTCAGCAGGAGGCCCAGCCTTGGGGCCTGGGGGAGGGTCAGTAGCACAGGAGCCCTGGACTCTACTCCCTCCATAGGCCCTACACCTGGAGGGCTGTTCATTGCTCAAAATACAGCCCTGTGCCCCTCCTTGTCACGGAGTCTGTCCCCAGCCTCCAGGACCCCAGAGGGTAGTGAGTAGGGCTGAGGAAATGAGAGGCTGTCTGGCTACTTGGACTTTTAACCTTTGAGCAACTTTGCATTAAAGAAGCCAGTTCCGCAGGCATCTAATTAAACCACGATCAAAAGGCTTTAAGATACAGCGGGGAGATGGGAGAAAGGCAGGTGGGCTGGGATTTTGCTCACACACAATGGCCCCTCCTACGCAGCATCTTAGGAGAGCCGGTCAGGAAGTTTTCAATGAAACGTTTTTGCCGATTTGCCAAAAGCAACGCTTTGTGCAGGGAAGGGTTGGGTTTGATGAATTTCCCATTTGGAAGCAAATCTGAAAAAAAAAGTCTTAAAATTGTCAAAGCAGGACAGTTTCAAAATAACATTTTCCATTTTTCAATATGAAACAATTTGGGGGTTTCCAGTGTAAGTTAATTTCCAGTTTAAATAATTTTTAACGATAAAAAGGTCAATATCGATTTCCAAGTGATTGAAATAAAACAGCTGGATTGGCCCAGACTGACAGTGTTTTCAGCTATTCGGTTCGGGATGGGAAATTTCTTGACATTTCAGAAATTTCCCTGGGATGGGAAAAATGTTTCCTGTCCAACTCTCGACAGTCATCGCCCAGAAGCAGACAGAGGCCGCTGGGATCTGTTGGAACATGGAGTCTCTATGTTCTCCCCATGCTCATGCCCCCAGTTGAGATTGTCTCTGATTCACTAAGGAAAGGAGTCTGTAATTCAGGGCTTTTGTGAAATTGCCCTTCAAGTTCTTTGCTGTGGCTGTGTGGTGGAGTCCCCGAGTGGAATGTCTTCTGTACAGCAGCTGGAAGAGGGGCGTAAGGCAGCGTTATTGTAAGGTCTATGGTGCAGGCATCATCCTTCATGATATGTTTGTACAGCGCCTAGCACAATGGGTCCAAGCCGGTTGTGATCGTAGGTGCTACGGCTGTGTAAATGTTAGCTAATAATAACATGGTGCACACGCCCACTCTAGAGGAGTCTTGGACAATTAGGAGCACGGCGGTGGTTTTTACATCATGCCCATCAGAACCTGCTGCTGCCCACCACTGGAGAAAAGGTACGGGTGTCAGAGACGGTACGTGGGCAGTCATGCCTAGTGGTTGGAGCAAGAATCAGTAACCAGGAACATGACCCCAGGGTCAGAGCTGGAGTCGGAGGGCAGGTGCCAGAGCCAAAGGCAGCAAGCCAGAATCAGAGCTAAGGGTCAGAACTAGGGTCAGAGCCAAATTCAGGAATCAGAGCCGAGGGTCAGAGCCAGGTTACCTGGAGTGAGGCAAAGCTGGGGCCAGCCAGGAGCAGGGCTGGGAGTCAGCGGGCACCGGACCTAGTGCAGTAAATGCTTCTGAGACTCTTCCCACCAGTCGGGCAGTGTAGCCAACAGGCAGCCAGCTAGAGGCCACTGCGCTGGTCAGACTCCCGGGAGAGCAGGCCCCGATTCCTGAGGGCGGAAGTCGCTGGGTCATTTGTCTCACCCCACGTGGTAGGGGCAGGATCATGGAATCGCTGGACACAAGCAACCTGCAAGAAATGGCCAGAGGCGATGGACAGTCTGGGGGTCTGCAGGGCCGGGGCCAGACTGGGAACAAACGTGGCTCTGGGCTTCCAAGCTGTGCCCATGGAATAAGCTCTGACCCCTTCAGGGCTGTGTGCTGTCCCCCCGGCTCTCCGAGCTCAGCTCCCCACGAGCCGGGCCAGAGGCCCCGGGCTCGCCTGGGCTTCTGGTGACAGGGGCTGGCCAATGACTTTTCAGTCAATATTATAGGACAGAAAAGTGGGTTTTTGACTCAATTTTGGCAGAAGGCATTAGCCTCCTGGGGGGCAATCCCGACTTTTCATCGAAAAACCACCCCCACCTTTGGAGCTTTGGCTGGAAAATATTCTGGTGCTGGATGGAAAGTTGACATTTTCCACACCCCTCCCACCCCTGCATTTTTGGATCCGTTCCATTAGCCCCACTTCGAGGGGGTGCGGGTGGGGTCTCAGTTACACCCAGCTCTGCGAGGCTCCTTGACTGGGAAATGGGGAAGGAGTGGTGTCTCGGAAGCCCCCTCGCTCAGGGTGCCGTAAGGAGCTGTCCCCGCACACTAGACTGGGCAGATCCTCCTAACTGCCCCTCCCTCTCCTTTTAGCAGGGAAATAGTTAAATGTCAGCAGTGGGCAGATGAAGGGGCTGGTTCACACCTCTCCCAGCCACTGTTCCTTGTGGTGCAGCCTAGAGACTGAGTTTTGCTTTCAGATGAAAACTTTAGATTCCGGAGAATATGGTGCTGGCAGGAAAGAGGGGCTGGCAACCGCCCCAGGATGTGCCAGCTGACTGTGAGTCCCCGTGAAGGTGAAGGAGGAGAGGGGAGAGCAGTGTAGATGGACCACTGGTCTATGCCGTGACCCGAGGAGGCAGGATGCCGGAGTAGACAGATCATTGATCTGTGCTCGTATGACAGAGGCAGGGCACTGGACTAGCCTGAGCGTGGGTCTGTGCTCGCACCCCTCTTTTACTAGGCCCTCCTGAGAGAGGAATGCAACAGACGCTGTGAACGTAGCCTGGCTGGAAAGGGCAGGAGCAGCGGGGAAGGACTCCTGATTCGAGTCTTGCTCTGCCCCTGACTTGCTGTACAAATCCCTTCCTCCCCCCTTGCCTCGATTTCCCCATGTCAAATGTAAAGCGCTTTGAGATCTAGGGATGGAATCTGCTCTGGCGCTCCCAAATTCTTTCCTGAAGATTTCTCTTTCTTTCCCCTCACCCACCTGACACTGGGGCACTTTGCCAGCCTCTCCTTTTAGCCAGAGAATGTCCGTAGCCCAGAATCTCTCCCTCCCCTGCCACACACCCCCTCCCCCCCACCAGCCCCTTCGTAGGAAATGGCCAGATGCTTTCTGCAGGGAAAGACCGCAGACAAATAATGAGCTGTGTGAGCCAGCGGAAAATTAAACTAGTGTTTGGCTGCTTGTTCCCTTAGCTGTGCTAATGACCCCACTCCCAGATGAACTGGTAACAGGTGGTGCTGCGAGGGCCACTGAGAGGCTGTCTCCCCGGAGAAAGGGTGAGCGGGAGGGTCATGGGCGACCGTGCAGGGAAGACACCAGAGAATGCTGCATTTTACTGCTTGGAGAGGGGAGGGGCAAGACGCGGCGGGAGAAGAGGGAGAAAGGTGTGCAAGGGAGAAAGGGGGGACAGTCCAGGCTATTGTGGGGAGCCCTGCACCCTCCACCTGCCCTGGGCGGTGTGCCCTGGCGAGCACGGCCTAGAACTTAGGGACTCTCAATTTGTTCCTCTGCTACAGACTGCCTGTTTGATCTTGAGCAAATCACCACATTTCTCTGGGCCTCAGTTTCCCATCTTTAAATTGGGGGTGAGCCTTCCAATTTAAACCACAAGCTCTGTGGGGCAAGGCCTGTCTCCCAGCTCGTGACCATACAACAGCTGGCTCAGCGGGGGAGGACTCCTGGTTCTATTCCTGCCTCTGCCCCTGACTTGCTGTACAAATCCCTTCCTCCCCTGTGCCTTGATTTCCCCATGTCAAATGTAAAGCGCTTTGAGATCTGGGGATGGAATCTGCTCTGGCAGGGTCAGGTATTGGTGGCAAGGTTGGAGGCCAGAAGCTGGAGCCAGGCAGGGCGGCTGAGATACTCTCCCCATCTCCTCTTCCTCTTGCTTGGGGCTTCGGGGCTGCAGCAGCTTCTCGGCTCCTTGCAGCCCCCACAGAGCCCTCAGTGAGCAGCAACTGGGGGGCCCAGGAGCCCGGGTCAGTCCGTGCTGCTGTGAGGAGCCTCAGACCCTCCACCTTCCCTGGGCGGCGGGCCCCAGCGGGCAGGGACACGGGACGGGCGCCGGGCAGCTGGAGAGCAGCCCTGCTAGCTGGGCACCCAGCTCTGAGGACAGTGCCACCAGCAGCAGCAGCGGAGAAGTGTTGAGCCACGTGTGACCTTTGTGTTGGGAGGGGTGGCTCTGGAGGGGAGTCAGGGCTGGAGACAGGATGCCCAATTCTCAGAGGTGCTCAGCCCCTGCAGCATCCATGGACAAACCACGGCTGAGTACAGACAGAGACAGGAATGGGGTCATTAGCAAGGATTGAACCTGGGACACTCAGCGCCAAATCCCCAGCGTTTGACTGCCTGAGCATCTCTCTCGGCTGGGAGGGTGCTGGCGTTGCTAGGGCAGGGTCGAGGGAGACAAGCTCCCGTGCGCTAACTGCGTTGAATCAGCACCGCTGAAAAACAGGCCCAGAGCTTCTACCACCCCCAGTGCGAACTGATTTATCAGTGAGAATCCTTCGCCCCGTGGCTAGCACCTTTGATCCAAGAGTTTCAAGGGGCTTCCCATTCAGCCACTCCCATGGGACGGGTGAGCAGTGTCATTCTCCCCATTTCACAGCTGGGGGTACTGAGACCCAAAGAGGCATCAGCCGGGCAGAGCCAGGAATGGAAACCAGAAGCCCCGGGTTACAGGAATGTGACTGAGGAAACCAGCTGGGTATGCAGCTAGATGCTATCGTGGCATTTGCTCAGGGACATGCTGCCAAGCTTTTAACAAGGGGCTCCCACAAAAGCGTTCCCACAGAGCTGGTACCAAACCTAAACCCAGTGAACCAGGAGGCATGTCTGAGACCCCCCCACCCCGCCCGTGGGGGGGAACAAGGCCAGGCAGCCTCTTCATTTGTTTTAAACAAAAGCACTTTCTCAGAGTCAGGAAGGAGGCAAAGCCACTTGGCAAACAAGGGGCTATTAAGAGCACTTAGCTGGAAGCGTTTGCACTGGGTTCCTGAGACATGCACGGGATAGTGCAGCACGGAGCTCAGCCTGGGGGACTGGCACTGGGCAAAGTGCATCGCCCAAGATAAATGTGTACATACCGGCTTGTTTGGTGCACCCAGAAATGAACAGCACGCAGGAAAATCTCCCCTGTAGCTTTGTCTTAGGCTGGCAATCTGGCCTGCTTGTCCCCATCAGCGATCCCTGCCGCGACCCAGCTGGACTGGGTTTCCTGTTCTAAGTACTCTCTTCATGGCTCCAGGATTCCCCTTCTCCACCCGCCGTGGGGTTTGCAGGCTGGGCTCTGGGGCAGGCTGGCACCGCCCACCACATTGCACCGGGCAGGCTCTAGGTGGCAGCACAGGAACACACAAACCTGTGGCCCAGCTGAGGTGGGGCCGAGTTTTGGGAGCCAGGGCCCTGGTTTGAGGAGCTGGGCTACTCAGAGATGAAGCCTTGCAGTGAAATACCATCCCCCGCCAGGCAGAGGAGCCACAGGGCTATTGGGTGGGGAACCCAGGTGCACCATGCGGGGTGTGCTGAGAGGGTTATATTTCAAGGTCAGAAGGGACCTGCCTGATCATCTAGTCTGACCACCTGGCATAGCACAGGCCAGGGAACTTTGCCCAGTGATTTCCTGCAGGCGGCTCATGTCTTACAGGTGAGCTACAGCAGATCCTTTAGCAAGACACCCAGTGCTTCTGATGCCCCGCGTCCCCCACTGCTAACCTGCGGGATTTCCCAGTGGAAATGTGCCCATCTCCTGTAGACAGGTGAATCACATACCAGGAGCCAGGGCTTGTGCAGCACGGGGCCGGCGGATGTTTGGCTGGAGAATTCCACCTTGATCCAATTCATTTCACAGCTCCTGTCTGGCAATAGGGAGCGTGGGAAAATTCCGATCAGGCCTCAGACGACAGGCTTCTGCGGAGTCCCACTGAGTGCCCAGAGCTGAGCCGGTTTAATGGAAGGGATAGTGCAGGTACCGGCTACAGCATTGTCTGTGGGCCAAGTCAGACGAAGCAAGTGACCTTTTGCCCGAGGTATGTGCACAGTAATGTCTTCCTCTCAGAGGCCCCCTCTCCCCCGATCAGTCCTGGAAGGTACAGCCCGGGAGATACAGACCCGGAATGAACAGAACAGGGAATGATCAAGTGATCCATCCCCTGTGGCTCATTCCCAGCGTCTGGCAAACAGAGGCTAGGGACACCCTCCCTGCCCATCCTGACTGTTCATCATTGATGGACCTGTCCTCCACAAATTTATCTAATTCCTTTTTGAGCCCTGTTATATTCTTGGCCCTCCCAACATCCTCTGGCAAAGAGTTCCACAGGTTGACTGTGCATTGTGTGAAGTTATACTTCCTTTTGTTTGTTTTAAACCTTCTGCCTGTTAATTTCATTGGGTGACCCCTAGTTCTTGTGTTATGAGGAGGAGAAAATAACACTTCCTTATTTACTTTCTCCACACCAGTCATGATTTTATAGACCTCTCTCATCTCCCCCCTTAGTCGTCTCTTTTCCAAGCTGAAAAGTCCCAGTCTTATTAATCTCTTCTCATACGGAAGCTGTTCCATACCATTTTCCATATCGTTGTTGCCCTTTCCTGAACCTTTTCCAATTCCAATGTATCTTTTTTGAGATGGGACGACCACATCTGCACACAGTGTGCACGATGTGGGCGTATCATGGATATATAGAGAGGCAGTATGATATTGTCTCTCTTATTATCTGTCCCTTTCCTAATGATTCCAACATTCTGTTCGCTTTTTTGACTACACATTGAGTGGATGCTTTCAGAGAAATAGCCACAGTGACTCCAAGATCTCTTTTGTGAGTGGTGACAGCTAAGATAGACCCCCATCAGCAAGTTAGCAGATGACACTAAGCTGTGGGGAAAGGTAGATACGCTGGAGGGTAGGGATGGGGTCCAGAGTGACCTAGACAAATTGGAGGATTGGGCCAAAAGAAATCTGATGAGGTTCAACAAGGACAAGTGCAGAGTCCTGCACTTAGGAAGGAAGAATCCCATGAACTGCAACAGGCTGGGGACCGATTGGCTCGGCAGCAGTTCTGCAGAAAAGGACCTGGGGGTTACAGTGGACGAGAAGCTGGATATGAGTCAGCAGTGTGCCCTTGTTGCCAAGAAGGCCAATGGCATACTGGGCTGTATTAGTAGGAGCATTGCCAGCAGATCGAGGGAAGTGATTATTCCCCTCTGTTCGGCACTGGTGAGGCCACATCTGGAGTACAGTGTCCAGTTTTGGGCCCCCCACTACAGAAGGGATGTGGACAAATTGGAGAGAGTCCAGCAGAGGGCAACAAAAATTATTAGGGGCCTGAGGCACATGACTTATGAGGAGAGGCTGAGGGAACGGGGGTTATTTAGTCTGCAGAAGAGAAGAGTGAGGGGGGATTTGATAGCAGCTTTCAACTACCTGAAGGGGGGTTCCAAAGAGGATGGAGCTCGGCTGTTCTCAGTGGTGGCAGATGACAGAACAAGGAGCAATGGTCTCAAGTTGCAGAGGGGGAGGTCTAGATTGGATATTAAGAAACTATTTCACTCGGAGGGTGGTGAAGCACTGGAATGGGTTAACTAGGGAGGTGGTGGAATCTCCTTCCTTAGAGGTTTTTAAGGCCCGGCTTGACAAAGCCCTGGCTGGGATGATTTAGTTGGGGTTGGTCCTGCTTTGAGCAGGGGGTTGAACTAGACACCTCCTGAGGTCTCTTCCAACCCTGATATTCTATGATTTTATGATTTTATATGCATAGGTGGGATGCTAAAGAGGAGGTCTCTGTACAGAGGAGAACCACAAAGGACCCAATACCTTTAACCGAAATGCTGAATCCAGCTGACCCAATATTCTCTTGCATTAGCCACGCACTGATCAGGACGTCTGCGCCTGCTGGAGCTAACCTTTTCCCACCACTGCTTATGTGACCAGGGGCACTAGGGACTGAGGACCCTTGGAATGCCCCAGCTTTGATGTTTGTTCATTGAGGGATGACCCAAGATGTTAACAAACTGCTGGAATAAGCAGCCAGCCAGCCACTCCCCGGGACAGCCAGGGGCTGGAAGAGTCTGCTTTGAGTAAAGCCCTAGCTATGGAGCAGTTTCATCCATGGGCAGCTTATTTGCATGCTGGTCCCCCCACCCCCTTACTGCTTGGCATGAGCCCACTTCCTCCCGTGCTGCCCTGACTCCACCTCAGCCTTTCTCTCCAGCTGCCCAGAGCCGCCCTGAGCCGCCCCGTGCTCTGCCCAGAGAGTCACCTCCAGCTTTTCAGAGGGCTCGATGCGTCCCCATTGCCCAGGGCTGGGCACAGCCTGAGCGCCAGGGCCTCCCAGAGCCCTTCGGGTGCCACTTGCTCTGGGCAGTCCCAGCTTTACCCCGCCGTCCTCTGGGGCTCGGGCGGCCTGCAGGGGGCAGCAGGGGGCTCTCGGGGGAAGCTCTCGGAGGCCCAGACCCAATCTTGGAGGACGCTGAGTTTGAAAATGTTCCGAGTGATCGCGGCCAAAAGCGGCGCCCCCGGGACGTGACCTTTATCCCATATACCAGGCGCTGAGTAATAGACACAGGAACAAATACGCCGGCTCGCAGGCCTCCCCGATGCTGCCTTGGTTCGGAGCACAGGCCCCGCCTGGCACCCGTGTCCCCGCCTGCCCCCAGCCACCCCGGGGAACTCCTTGTGGCTGGCCCCTGAAAGACCCGTGACTTGCATGAGCCTGCTGCTTTGGCAGGTGCTGGCCTCTCTCTCTGCCAGGCCGGCGCCCCAGAGCTCTCCATGGCCAGCGCATGGGGCGCAGAGGTGGCCTGCACAATCCCGGGGATCCTCATCCCTGGCATCTGGGCAGGTCGACCTGCAGAGTTAGATGCCACACTTCACGGTGCCCACAGAGCACAGCAGATGCCCAGACACCCTCCTGGTTCGGAGCAAGCACCAGCTGCGGCCCAAAGCTCCTTCGCACCTTCCTCTGCGTCAGGGCAGGTGCCCGACTTGTGCCTTGGCTCTGAGCTAGGACTGAGGGGGGAGCTCGGTCTCTAAGCCCTTCGCCTCTCTGCCAAGCCCCCCTCCTCAGCGAGAACGCAGATTCACTGCCCCTGCAGCTGCCAGCTGGCGAAAGGGGGGCCATTCCCCATCCCTGCCCCACCCGCCCCCAAATCGGGCAGCTGGCAGCATCACACGTGCCCAGCTCCGGCTCTGCTTTCCGAGCGCCAGTAAGGAATTCCAAGGTGGGTTTTCCTCAGCGCTGTGGCTAAAAATAAAAGGCTGCCTGCAAAATATTTTTGCCTTTGTTTTTCTGCCTCCTCCCCCCCCCCCCCCCCCCCGTGCCTCCTGCCTGCAACGCACCCAGCTCGGGTGCCCCCTGAGACCGAACACTCCACTAGCTCTGCACAGGCATGGCACCCCAGGGCCCGCTCATTAGCCTCCCTGTCTGTCCGCCAGGCCTGTCTGGGCCTGCCTCAGGTGCAGCAGCTTTGCCTGGCTCCTCTGTGCACCCGTCTGTTCCCGTTCCTGGGTCGGCACAGCTCTGCTGGGGGACACGGCTGCCCCCATGCCCGGCTCTGGAAGTGCCCCTCAGGCCTGGCCCCGGGGAAGGTGGGGGGCTTTCCCATGCCATGGGAGGCTCCCAAGCATTTTCCTGCCCCAACGTTCTGATCTGGCCTGCAGGGCAGTTGGCACCCAGGAGTCCAGCTCTGTTCATTGCTGAGATGGGGACTGATGTGGGGGGTCACTCCCAGCCCCTTCCTTGGCTGCAGAATACAGGCCAGGATGTAGAGACCCTGTGCGGTGACACTAGGCTAGTACCCAGCAGACTCCCCTTGGGCCAGCCTAGCTGTCTCTTCTCACTGCCCAGGGGCATGACAGGGGTTGCCAGGGGAAGGTGGATCCAGCTCCCAGGGGTTAGAGCTGTTTGCACCCAGGGTTTCAGCTTGGACCCATCTCTTGGCCACTCAGCCGCCCCCTTCCCCCTCCCCTCCCTCATCGCCGCTGGGTGCTGGCCGGCCCTCCCAGACTGGCACCCGTGCCCGAGCATGACTGGGGCGAAGTCTGCACCCCCCTCCACCTCCCCAAGGTTGCTTGTTAAAAAGTACCCGGCTAGATAAATAGCTGTCCCGTTTTTATGGGTGCAGCAGCCGGGGCCGATGGGAGAGATGGCCCAGGAGACCTCGCTCTACCGGGGGAGGGCTGAGCCCGTCTGTTTAATGACCCGCAGCCGGTGCCAGCTCTCTAATCCGTGCAGCGTTCCAGTACAAACTGTACCAGTGGTTATATAAACCAACTTGCCTCTGTTTATTTAATTCCCTTTTATTTATTTACCGTCCAGCCAATTGAAGCCAGGGGAGTGGCTGGGAGGTGGGGCTCAGCCCCTCTCCGCTCCGGAGCGCTCCCCCTTCTCAGGGCTTTTCCAAGAAGCGCTTCCAGACCAGCCTTGAAAGCGAGGTTCAGGCCAGATCATTCCCCCTCCAGCCCCAGCCTGGTAGTGGAGGGTCAGAGCGTCTCCTGATTGCAACATTTCCTCTGGCGGGAAAAAGCTCAGGGCTGGTCCAGGAGGAATGACCACACACCCGCCCCATGCAGCTGTGCGCGTCCTGTGTGCAGCCTCGGCCGAGACCCAGCTGTGGCTCTGATCAGACGGGGAGGACTGATGTTCACTGAGTCAAGAGCAGCCGGAACAACAAGGGAGAAAGGAAACTTGGACGTGACGAGAGCTCGGCTGATTCCTCTGGTGCTCTGCGTGATTCGGGATTTCC